TAAAAAAATTATACATTTTTATTAGCTTTTAATAAACTGAGATATAAATATTCATTTCCATTATTATGTTGACTATAAAATAATATATAAATTCATCCTATTTTATAAAGGTGTCTTCAATACATATTAATAGTATGCATTCAACTTCAAATCGTCTAATTTTGAATGAATTAAATTAGGATCGAAAGACTCTCGCTGTTGAACACGATATGCTTCTTAAGAAAATGACTAAGGAATAGAAAGAAGTATTAGTTGGCTCAATTTTAATTTACGGGGGAGAGCTAACAGGCTCAATTTTAACGTCCCGACCAAAAAATGACGCTGATGAAAAGAGGTGGAAAATAGATTATCCAACTCAAACGAAAAACGTTTTAATAATTTATGAATTTTGTAGTTTGCGCCCAACGTGTTTACTTTTGTNAAAGATTCAAACAAGGATTCGAAAGATTAGGTGGTTTTTATTCAATACGATTCGAGATGAAAAATCTTTTTTTCTGCCGATGAAGTAGATTCAGAATGAAAATTAAGGAAAAACAAATATGAAAATAAGAGCTCCCGTTCGTAAAATTGAAATAAATAATTCAATCAAATAAAATAATATTACTATGGTTCGGGAGAAAGTAAGAGTATCTACTCGTAATGAATCTTTCCGCTCTAATCTTCTATTCGATAGTTATCAGTATTTATCAACTCTGTTCCTATCTAACGAAAGGCTATTTGATTAAATGACAAAGGCATTGCTAAGAAAAAGATGAATTTTCCCCGATAAAATGCAAATTCCTGTAACAGGAGAAAGATTTCCCATTTCTTAGCCGGAACCTATTCTAACATTTGAGTTCATTCTCGATAGCCAGATAGTGAAGTTCGAAGGGGAAGGAAGACTAAACCTAGTGCTGAGCTAAAGGCGTCAGAAAGAAGCGTCAAGTCACCAATACGAATGACGTAATTACTAGTTTGATAGTATAAACATTTTATTTAAAAATTAATTAATCTAACCCATCTAAATCTAATTATAACACGTGTTAGTCCAATATTTGTGTTAATAGGTAACCATAAAAGAGCATTATCTTGAAGCTAAGCTAAATAGTAGCCCACTGAAGTTAACAGTTACCAAACAACCTAAACTTTAGTGGCTATGCTTTTTTCCCTTTTCCATTCTTTTAATTTAATTAAAAATATATAAAAAGATTTCACATATTTATTTCATGGCCGCCTTCGTGACACGTGTCACTGCAGCAAAGGCATTAGAACATGTCCTGGAGCTTATTTTTTTTTTGGGTCATCTTATTAATAGTAAAAATAATTATCAACACATCAGATTATAATATTTTTAAAATGTCACTTAAAATACCTTACTCAGTTACTCTTAAATATTCCAAGTTTCTAATGCACTTACAATGGTCCCTAGGTTTGTACATTGTATTACTTAACTTCTAATAGGATTAATATACTGTCACAAATTCTTGTACGAGACAAGCAGACCACTCATACTTTATAACTAGAATTGTATATTTATACTATCAAAAGTTATAATTTTATTTATATTATCTCTAAAATATCACATTTTTCTAGTAAAAGTATGTATATTTGTGAAAATAGTATGTCGGTCTAATAATATTTATGTTGGCCTAAAAGAAGACTTACCGAAGCAATATTGCATAAAATGTTTGTTTTAGTTGATATTTTGATAGTCAGCTAGGACTAGAAACGAATCGAGTCTCTCGCGAGTTACTCAAGTCAAAACTCAACTTGACTTCATGTTTGACTGAGCACGAGCTAACCTCGAGCAAATCGAACTTGAACTGTAAGTGTAATTTATTTATATACCACTAATTCGATAAGGCCGATGTTCGACTCAACTCTCGACTCGTTTGCAATCTTGGTCTAAATTATTAAATCAATTTGGTTGTGTATACATTATAAAATAATGCTGCGTGAAATTATTATTGAATTTATTGATTTTCTGTTAGGTTTCCATTTAATGGGCCACTATGCATGTAGCCTTTCTTAAAGTAATGGGCTATTTCCAAAAATTGGGGTAATGCCGAACGGGAACGTAATTGACTGTATTATTTGCATAAAATTATACAGACCTGCAATTTGACGGAACTTTAATACAAAATTGTAACATCCATATATTATCATCAAACTTAATTAAATATTGATATTGTATGAATATAGTTATTAAATCAGCTCTAGGGCTTCCTAATGGGACCCCCTTCATAATAGTATAGAAACTTTTCACTTTACAATTTACATATATAAAATTTTCAATATATTTTATGTGGCCAATTTTTCGTATCAAATTACTGTAGCATTCATAAAATTATGCCTAAACTTAGTCATATAAGCTTAAAAACTAACATAATTGGTGATAACCAATTTGACGTGGCTCTAACAATGCGAACCACATGTCTGTATAATGAATGAGAATTATAATTATCTACATTTGCAATCTTATCCTTATTGTAACTAGTGCGTATTCCGTGAGACAGAGATACAAGTTATTTTTCACGGTCCGTTTAAGTTTAAAAAGTAAAAAGATATCATCTATTCTTCATCTCTTTTAATCAGCTTAAGTCTAAAAACAATAGCGTTATAATCTATTTTTCACTTCTTTTAATCATCGTTGTTTTATTAGCCATAACATTAAATATGAGCATGTTAGGATTAGCTTGTAATATAATTAATACATTATCTCACTAACACATTTATACTAATATAAATTTGATTTTAGTAATATATATTTATCCCTTGATATAAAAAAAAAATAAACAGTTTTATTTATTCTTGTTCACCATATAATACTTAATTATATTTTATTATAAACTTTGTTACCATATAATGTCATTCTTATTTATAAAAGTTATAGAAGTTGTACGTCTTCTTTTTCTTTTTATTTTATGTGATAAAAATATTTAATGCATGTTAATATTATTTGTTTATATAATCAATTTAAAATATATAAATAAAATTAAAATTAAATAGTGTATAAATATTTTACAAAATATACACTCATGTTTTTTTTTTTTTTTAAATTTAATTTTATATACTAATTAAACAACTTTGATTTATCAAATGCCAAAAACTCAATCCTTTTTATAATCAAAATTTTTCTAATTTGCATTATGATGATTTATAACTTATTTAGCATACACTGCAATGAAAATATATTTTAAAAGAATTTTAATATAGAAAGAAATCAAAATAAAAAGAACGATTAAAAAATAATCATGGTTGTCAATAATTTATAAATAAATTCTAAAGAACTTAAATATTCAATTTTAATTTTTGACCATAGTAGAACGATTTAATGTATATGGTCATTGTCTCTTAAATAGTAAATTATATTAATTTGATGAATAATTATTTTTTTTTATATATAACGAAATAAAGCTTATGCAAAAATTATATTAGCAAAGATTCATTCACCAACTTGATTTCGTCTGATTAATTGGAAGAAAAATTCCACATAACTTGTTACAATTTCTATAAAAATTTTTGGATAAAAAGTGATTATTTTTTTAAAAAAAAGTTAATATCATGGTTAGAACTTAAAATATGTTGTAATATTTATATTGACAAAATATTATCAACATGAATTAGAGAAAATCAATCTTATAATTTATTATAATGAATATCAATTAAATTATTAAAGATATTAATAAAATTATTTAAGAAAACAATATATTTTATCATATCTCATTTTATCTTATTCCAAAACATGTATATAGAAGCAATCAATGCATATATTTAAAAAGTTTCCAAAAAAAAGATATGCATTAAATGTTTCCAAAATTTTAATTACTATTTTTAACAAATGGTTATTCTTATTATATATATAGATATAGATAGATTAATATACATTGTCCGAAAATGACATATTTTGGGAGAGACATCACCCAAAATATTTTTCATTTTCCTCTTTGTGCTAAAATTGGCTTTATTTTGAAACTTTAAAATTATCCATAATATGAAGCGGTTTTGTACTACCAATACACACACTTCAATAGGGAAAACACCAATAGAATTTACTAAACATCCCACACAAGCTACATTGAATGGACTACAACATATAATAATACTAGTTTGGTCACGCCGTGCACGCACGGCGGACTCAAATTTAGTCTAAAAATACAGTGAAAATTTGTCATTAGTTGTAATGATCAGTGATGTTCATGTCCAATTTTTACACTGATTTTTAACAAAATAAGCTTTTATCATAAAAGGCCCATTACACAGGTTTATAGGCAACTGTGCAGCTCTCTACATATATTATGCCTATTAAGTTAATATGGTCTCAAATGAATCAGTAGTGTTTGAGAAGAGGCGATGCATTTAAAGTTTTGGTATGCAGTGAGAGTTTTAGTCTAAAATCCTCGTGTGAATGGCTGCAACACGGCAAGCCTTCTCAAAGGTGTTGGTCGTCATTTGTGCCTCCCGAACTACTCTCAAAAAGCCCCAGGCTGAATCAAAAGCTCCATTTATGCGCCCGGATTTCGATCCAACCTTTTCAACACCTAAACAATTTGGATGGAGTGTTAAAATCAATTTTTTTTAAGTTATATCCAAATTCATATACCTCTATTTGTAAAAATCTTTCAAGTTTTGGTGAAAATAATTGATTGACAAATCTAGTCGCAAGTTTAGATTCAAATGTATGTATGGTAATTGTACAAATCTAGTCCACCTATCTAATGCACAAAATGGTTATACAAAGATTGAAGTCTGCCTACACAGTTGCCACAGGCTAGTTGCAAAATAAATCAATTTTACCATCATTTTGTTAATCAAAACTGTATATTACCATAGTTGGCATGACAATTAATAATTGCCTAAAAATAAAGGCAATAAGAGTACTTTTAGGTCCAAATTGAGTAGAATGTGATTTTGATTTTCATTAGCAGTATTACTACCGTTCAAATTTTCCATAATAAATACATTCACCTTGAGTTCACTTAAAAACACCTAATTTTAAGCTAAAAAACTCAAAACATTACCCGATCCGTAATTTTCTTATGTTGCTGCTCCATAGTGGAAGTCGTGGCAAGAATCTCTCCCTCCAACCTGTTGATATTTACTAAAAGGCTCATATTGTGATAATCATCAAATCCTAGATTACTGAAAGAAACTTTATAACTGAAAGAGTTCAATTACCATATATCATTAGAAAGCAATCTTTTCTCATTTATCCAATGATTATATAACCTCTCACGTAATTTGATTCTCGGTTAATTGAGGAATCGACTAAATAGTAAATCTCAGTCTATAAACCCTCAAGTAGATAAAAGAAATCTAAACAATTATCCAAGAACAACATACATTGAGTCCCAATTATACAATTCAGTTTCCAGCATAAAACATTACCAGACAACATACACAACACACAGACAACATACACAACACACAGAATGTATATGAATCAATAGACAAAACATAAGCAGGTAACTTTAAGCAACAATTTCAGTTTAGGGATGCATGCGCACACACACGGATTTAAGTGACCTCACAACTCATAAACCAGTAGTGAAACTCAAAAGAGCAAAATCTTAAAACATTTCCATAAAAAAAATCCATATAAGGTATGTCCAGGTCCATCGACCCTCGAGAACATAAAACAAATCTAAACAATTATCCATGAATAACGCACATGGAGTCCCAATTTTAAAAATTGAACGACCAGACAACATAGAATGCATATGAATCGATCGAAAAAAAAAACATAAATTGCTACGTCAAGCAACAATTTCTGTTTGGGGGAGAAAAAAATTGTTTTTTACGAACCTTGAGAACTTGGGTTTCTTGTTGGGACAATAACGTTCACCTGAAACAAAACAAAAAAAAAAAACAATCTTCTTTTATCAAATCATATGAATGAAAACCTAAATCTAAATTTTGTAATCAGTCACTGTTGAAGATTCACTGGGGAAAATTCCAATTTCAATTATGTTGCTTATAAAATAAAATTAAAAAAGGAGAAAAAAAAAGACATACTTTGTGCTTAGTTTTGTTCAAATTATTTAAATTTTGGTTACCTAGTAGGAATTTACCCATAGCAAGTCCGAGAAGAAGCCGAGCTTCTCATCGTCAGAGTTTGCCGTCGTTGTTTCTGTTGAACCGGTGTCAGTCGTACTTTGCGGCAGTGGTGGACTGGCCTTCGTGCTCTTTGCTCGGTCGCGACCGATTTCTTCATCCTTCTCTTCTTCTTCTCATACACCTTATAATTTTTCAACTTCATCCTTTGAATCATGTATATGTATACGGAGAAGATGATGGAAAAATTGAGATCTCCAAAATAGGAGCCTATTTTCTTTAGCTTTTTTCCTTTCTCCGGTAGCCACTTTCTGTGCGTCATTAACCTTTTTTCTACCCGCCTCCCCCCGTCTTTAAAGCCTCATCATCTTTCTTCTTCTCCAACTCAGCTTTCGTTTTCTCCAAAAATACTTTTTCCCTCTATGATAACTCACCGGCCAATTCTAACCTCTTATTCTTAAGATCATCTCTGTTGTCAGTTTTACGGAGCCCTCTGTAAGCTTCCAAGAGGTATTTAACCATATATGCAAGAAAAGAAGCTTTCTGCTTAAGGCTGCAAAGGTTGGGAAAGAAGTAATTTTGTATACATTGCTCCACAGACTCCTCGGGTGGGTATTTACATCCCTTCATGAGATTGCTTATGTGCTTTACGGCATTTCCCTCTTTGCGAAAACTTTCGAACCTTATATCGGCCTCGTAAATAGAAGCGATGAGTATGTTAGCAATGGTAGAATCTTCCGTACCGATATTAATCATTTTTACTATTTTCTTGTCATTTGTGACGCCCAGAGCAAAGAAGAGAACCCATATTGGGATTTCAGTTACGTAAAAGTAGACCGTGAGTATTTTGTCGGCTCCCAAGACTTTCTCGGTTTTGGAGGTTAATTTTATGTAGACTCATTTTCTTTTTTCAACCGCACGATATGTGACTGTCCAAGTTGGGTCTTTGGATATTGAAAGTCTTCTGAGGCATATTTGCTCCTGTGCAATGAATGTCTACAACGGTCGAGTATTGAGAGAAATATATATATATAAATTATTTGGCATGGACACATTTTGGTCAATCGGATAATTAATAAAGGCATGTATACATTTTGCCAGTCAGTGAAAAAAAAAACACTTGCCAATATTTTAAGATTGTGCAATGTATCTTCTTACCTTACTTGGGAAATTCAAGTTTTTAAATGAGTGAAAGAGAAATTTGCTAACAGAAGCAAACAGAAAAGGTAAAACAATAAGAAACAGGGAAAAGAAGATTTGCTTTAAGTAACTAATTTAATCAGCACTATTAGTCTATTACTAACAACATTGATGGCTCAGTTATTATTGAAAGAAAAAGAAAAAAAAATAAGCACCTTCTCAGCACCCTTAATTATGAAATATCCCCCATGATCAAACTGGCAATCCTTTTTATCAGCTGAGCTCATCCTGCACAAATCCGACATCACCATGACTGGAAGTCTACCAGACATGCTTAGGAGACTCATTGTGCCTTTATGCTATTGGCCTTCAGATAATACGAAAAGGGAGAGGGAAAAGTTATAGGTCTATTTAAGAGTTGCTTTGGCATGACTGATATAGAATTGTAGTGATGTATTAAAGGATATTGTTGGCAATGTATACTACGTGGCACCTAAAGTTTTACGCCAAAATAATGGTGCGGAAGCCGATATTTCGAGTGCTGGTGTGATTTTTGTATATTCTGCTACGTCATGTACCAACGCGGTGCAGCTGCGGAACTTGTTCTTAATCTTTTCAGGCATTAATACTTCTCCAAAACCTTCAAATGCTTCCTTTTCAAGTGCAACAACCTAATATACATCAAGAACACCATCATAATTCTACAACTCCTTCGACATTGCTCTACTATACAAACGAACAAAAAACCCAACAACAGCAAATGATAAATTATAAATACCTGCCCCATCATTGGATCTTTCGCCTTGCACCACCATCACATCCTCCGCCATATCTCCAAGAATCTGCTCTCAAGTACGGAAAAGGACTTGTTTAGTGTTTTGAAGAGAACTACGGGGACAACTTACATTACCTTATTTCAGCTACACAAATTACTTAACCCTCTTTGCTCGAAGGCTCATCTTGGGGTTTCATAGCTGGGAAGAGCAGAACTTCCTGGACACAAAAAAATCAAGTAAATGTTGACAATAGAATTAAATATTGATAAGAAAATAAAATCAGAAATGATTCTGTGAGAATAAGTTAAGCTAATCTTTATGTTCTGCGAATTGCTCAGCAACATCACGAATCGATCGATATCCAATCCCCAACCTCCAGTTGGTGGCAACCATTTTTCCAAGAGGAGTACAAAATGTTTCGCCCAAAGCCATATCTTCATCATCAGCTGACAATTTTTCTATAATTATTCGCTAATTTATACAACACATATCAATAACAATCACAAGAATTGAATAAAAAAAACAAATACAATAAAAAAACATCCACCGTTGTCCCCTATCAGGAGTTTGATCAGATTGGTACTTCGTTTTGTAAGTGTCGAGGTGGCGCTGACCAGTGCACCCACCACACCAGATGTCGCCTCCACCAATGACTCCATGTCTCCCGCCACGAAAGAACTACAACCTTTTGTTACACAGCACAAAGGAAAAGGAAATAAACAGAAAAAGTTAAGAACAAGATAAAATGAATTCTCACTATGGCTCCTCACCATATCAGATCACACATAATCAGTCAATCGAGCAAAGTGATCAGAGGACTAAAATCGAAAATGGAAAACTAAAAAAATACCCTCGTTTCGTTCTTGTGTATAACTGAGGTTTAGGATGGACAGATTCCGACAGCAGAGGTCGTTTCCGATCACCGCCCAACGTGGGTAGTCAAATGATCGCATTAGGATTTTAAATTTTCCTGAAAAAAAAGACAAAAACAAAAAAACAAGAATCTGTAATACCCAAAATCGATGAGAAAAACTCGAGATAAGAACACAGAGAACAAATTTATACGCATAAGAAAAACAAATTGTACATGCCCGATAAGAACTCCATTCGAGTTACTGTTGTCGTCGTCCAAGGACGTACCTTCATCAGTCCAACCATCGCCGCTTGTGAACTACCGGGGCTCAGCCGACCGCTCGTCAGCATCTATGGACNATTTTTTTAGTAATCAATGAATTCCATGACCGCAAATACCTAAAATCAAAAGCTCAGAAGTAACCATTCTTGATTAACTCGATTAAAAAAAAAACAGAGTAAATGAAAATAAAAACCTCAAAAACGAATCTCGCGGGAAGTAAATACTGTTCTTCAAATCCACGAAGCCAATCCCTATCCTCATAGCTTCAGGAATTAAAAAATTGGTTCTTGAAAGTGCAACTGCTTAGGGTTCGAACAAGCGAGATAATTAGGCACTGCGGGGCTCCGATATCGTCGGCGCCGGGAGCCTGTGTAATTGTTGGTGTTGTAGGAGAGAAATTGGATTTCTGAGTTGTGACTGAGAGTGCGTGTGGGAGAGGATCTACTTTTCCAAGATTGCTTTTGGTCTTTGAGGTGATAGTTGCGTTTGAGAGGCGGTGACAGTTGCGTGTGAGAGGTGGTACGCAACAGTAAAGTCAACTTAGGGGGTAGTAATTCACTCTTTTATTTAAGGCGACAAAAATGAAACAAAAACAAAAGTGAACTCAATGGCAAAAATGTAAAAAAATCAGGAAGTTCTGAACACGTGTCAACCAGCGAGAGCACCAAAAATGGACACTTGTCAACACCACAAAAGATAATATAATATAATAATAATGAGCTGTTTAACGAAACATGTTGCTCGTAAGTTCAAACTCGCTATCAAAAAAGTCGAATTCGAGCTTGTTTATAGCTTATTTGGTCAACGAGTCGAACTTAGGCTAAAAAATATAATTTTTATTTTTATTAAATTTTCTATAGCCTAGATCACTAAGGTTCGGGTTTGACTCATTAATATTGATAAACGAGTTGAACTCGAACTAATTTATCGACTCTGCTCATGTACACCCTAATAATGACTAGTTTGAGTGATAAATCATAGATCACCCTAATTACTGAAATAAAGAAGAAACAACCCTCTATTTTATACAAATAATGTAAGAATACAAACTACTCATATCATTATTAAATGTTGATTTAAAAATAACATTAGCCGCAATAATTTCACCATGATCTTGAAAGTTGAAACACATTGGACCTAGGGCCCAACATATAATCTCAGTTGCCCACAAAGCTAATCGTAATTAATTTTGAGGAATTTTCACCCCATCCCTTCATGTTTCATTTATATTACATTTATACAACTCTTTAATTTTTATTTATGAAATAGCTAAACAAACACAATAATATTACAAATATACCTAATATGATGTGTTAGCAAATAACCGTTCATGAGCATTTTTTTTTTGAGATAGATTAAATGGTGTGATTTCATTAATTGATATTAAATATACACTTACCTAAAAAATATGAACCAAATACTGAACAATCCCACTCCACCACCCACGTTCACATCTAGACGCAAAGAAACCTCCATCATTTCCTCCAAATTCACGAACACTCTTTAATGGCGAAGATAAAACTTCATCGTCATTCTCGACAAAAACCGACAAATGGTGCCGACAAAACCACATATTAGGTCGAGTTCCAGCCCCAAGCTAACCCCATCTGTCGAGCTGTTCTCACCGTCCGCGCCACCACCACCTCCTCAGATCCTCGCGGACGAGAACATCCGCGACAAGGCCCGCCGCCACGCCTCGTCCCACGGCTTCTCCGCCAAGCACGTAGATGGTGGAGATAAGGATTCAGTTCCTTATGATTGAATCATTATGGATTGTGACGTAAATGAGGCTGGCAAATTTATTTAGTGGCTTATTGTTTTTTGTTGATGAATTGGGTTGAGAAAACTAGAAGTAGAAGAAGTGTACGGTGCTCGTGTGCCGATTATAGCATTGACGGCTAGTGAAGAAGAAGAGACTGGTTTGGAGAAGATGGTTCAATTCTTTGCGGTTACTTTTTGTTGGAACTTAGATATCAGATAAAGCTCTAACAAATTTTCGTTATATGTTTTGGTATATGTAGCGTGTATAGGCAGTATATGTCCGGTATATGTACATATTTTATACACAATTATTTTGCAGCTTGCGCCATTTCAATCCCCTCTTCCCTCTGTCTTGTTTGCCTTTTTCTGCTCAATGATAGAATCCCTTGAAGCTCCAGTTTTAATTCTTGTTAATTTTTCTTATTTATTTTTGATTTTTTTTCTTTTGTCCTTGTTGATTCAACCGCCTTCCTCGTCAGCCTTCACCGGCCTGAGAAGATCGGCGTGCGGGAGCAGTAACTCCAGGCCCGATCCGGATCCAAGTCTTTGTTTGATGTGGTTCATAAACTAAAAATATACTGAACATAAACTAAAAATATACTTATGCTGCACAATAAAAATCTATAAATATACTGAACATAAACTAAAAATATACTTATGCTGCACAATAAAAATCAACTGCTGAACATAAACCAAATATATTAAAACTACGCAGTTTATTTCCATGAACAAATACCAAAATATACTACACATATACTTTCACCTGTTCAATAGCAGCACTACAACTATACATGAGATGTGATAATGAAACATGGAAAGTTTGAAATATGATATCTAACTGATATCCTTCCAAGATTGAGAGCTGAAATTATGGGCTAGAAACATGGAAAGTTTGTTTCATATCGTGTAACTGATATTAGGTATGACTTTAATTACTTTTTATTTTTTAGGTATAAATACAATTTAATTGGTAGGAGTGGTAAATGTGCAAATATTTCAAAAACGAGTAATAAAGGTGAAAATTTCCCTTTCATTTTTAAATCCGCTATACATCACATTAAACTACGGCCCACATAGCCCATCAAACAGGCCCAAAATCATNAAAAAAAAAAAAAATGAAATAAAAAAGGTTTTGTTGTAGCGTCTCTGACTTTGCATTTCCGCTGAGAGTTCCTTTCTTCTCAGGCACCTCAGATTTTTGGATTGCGATAACCGATTGATCGAAAAAAAAGCAGATTAAAAAAAATAAATAAATAGCAGTGTTCCCATTTTATGACTCACTTTTGAACCCTAAACACTTCCTTTCGCACAGATAAATCTCCAGCCACACTGAACATCGTTGCGATTTTCAATCGTTGTACTGTAGATTTTGGTTCTTGAATCGCATATCACACCTCTGTCCTTACCCTAATAGCTGCAGATATTTTATTTTGGCAATTTTTCTGAATTAATTTGCTATTACATCTGTTTTCTCCGATTGTTCAGCTAGGGTCGATCGAAAAAAAAAAAACAATCGGAGAACCGCTTTCCGATCGAGATTCCGGTCTGGTATTGGTGGGTCTTTGATAAAGATTCGATCTTTGACATCTCACAGGTTTTCAGCCCGAACCCAAATGGTATTTCTCGAGGGCCACGCGGCCATGGCTAAATCCCTAAATTCACCCAACCCCTTCCCCAAATCGAAGCAGATCAACCAGCTGCATCGGAGCAGAAGTGCCTCCGTCCCCGATTGCGACCAGTCTCCTTACGCCGTAATCGATGTAATAATCCTGATTGCTGTAATTTGCGCCTCTTTTTTCCTGTTCTATCCTCATGCAAAGATTTTAGCCCGTAAGAGCCTCGAATTCAGTGGGGAAGTTGTTGAGGTGTTTGTTGAGGAGATTACTCGATCACCTCTGGGTTTTGGTTGCTTAGGGCTCAGCATATTTTTCACATCAATGGCACTTTTGGCTATTGCTGTGTGTACGGACAGTAGGTGTGGAAAACCGTGCTGCCGTGGCCTCCGGAAGGCACCGGAGTTCAATGTTCAGTTGGAGACTGAAGAGAATTTGAATTCGAATAAATTGTTGCAGAAGGAATTGTATGAAGTGCACCATAAGGAACTGGAGGCAGAGTTCAAGAAGATGGCGCCTCCCAATGGGAGGGCAGTTTTGGTATT